CGGAAGGAGGCGCCCGGCCCGAGGCCCCTTGGCCGATCCTGCGGCCCTTCACCGCCGCGGAAGAGGCGACGGGCCGGTGAAGGGACTCCCAGGAGGCCGCCTGTCCTTTCCCGCCTCTGTTGGAAGGAGCAGCGCTGGCGGGGAGGAGGGGGGGCTCCTCCTTTCCGCCCTCCCCGACCTGTTGTGTTGTGGTCCTGAGTGCATCGGGCCCCCGCCCCCCTTTAACCAGGAAGGTAGAAAGACCCAGAGGATAATAAAGGCACAGCTCCTTGGAAGGAGGAGCGCCACCGGCGCCACCGCCTCCTTCCTGCCCCCCCCCCCGAAGACGAGAATACTGTACAGTACTGTAGTTCCTACCTCTCACATCGACTATGCTTAGGCATTAGTTGCAGGACTCGGAAGTTTTACTTTTCAAAAGTTTTTTTTAAAGGTTTTTGTTGTTGATCTCCCATCTTTCTCCCACAACTGGATATAAGGGGGCTTGCAACAGGGGTAAAACAGATGCAAGACAAGTGCTGTACTATACAGATAAAAACATACCAAAAGCGGTCAGATTAAAATGGGGTTAAACTGACCTATTGCCATACAGTATTTGTCTGCTACAGCAAATAAAACAACAACAAATTGAGTCTTGTGAGTGTGACATTTTAAAGGCCATCCATCATGGCCTTTTACGGTTTGCAGGCACCTATGGGAGCCAAGTAAATCTTTTCAATCTTCAAGGTGCCACAGGACTCCTGACCATGTTTTTTGCTTGCATTTCTCCTGGTCTCTTTATACTAGACCACAAGAAAACCACAGCTTTCAGTAGTCTCCATGCTGGTCGTGAGATTCTGGAAATGTCATCCAGAAAAGTAGCTTTCCCGAAATGTAGCCCCAGGGCCTACATGGCTGTGCCCCCAAGGGTGTGGTGTTTCTGGAAGACTCTAAGGCAAGGGAAATGGGGGAAAGGTAGCAGTGTGTGCTCTCCCCGCCCCCAGTTATAACCAGTTAGTCCTCTTTCCTGGGGTTTGTCGTGATGCTTGCTCTCCTCTTCCCTCAGGTTCCCCCTGCACAACCCTGAGCGTCTCCGGCAATGGCTGTCCCAGATGAACCAGGAGAAGTGGGTCCCGACAAAACATCAGCACTTGTGCAGTGAGCACTTTGCACCATCTTGTTTCGAATACCGATGGGGTGTGCGCTACCTGAAGCCTGATGCCATTCCTACCATTTTCCAGACCTCAGATGGCCCGCTGGTGAGTGTGTGTTTAACTGGCTCCCGGGTCATGGGGAAGGCAGCATGTAAGGTGGGTGAGCAGGCAGGAGAGAATGCTAGTGTGAGAGCAGAGTGTCCTGGACCAGGGACTGACTGTAGGGGGTGGAAGAGACACAGGAGTTCCTCCCTGATTTTGCTAAGGTAGGCAAAAAAAGATGAACTGTTATCACTATTCAGTGTACAGTGGTGCCTCGCTTAGCAAGCGCACCATAGAACGACGAATCCGCACAGCGAGGACGATTTTGCGATCGCTAATGCGATCACAAAGCGATGGCCTCTATGGCCGAAAATCACATAGTGAAGGGCGGTAAGCGGTTCGCTTACCGACCTTCGCTTTGCGACCCGCGGATTAGCTGTTTGGCAGCTCCAAAATGCCGCTCGCTAAGCGAGGGGAGGGCGTGAAAATGGCTGCCGGCCATAGGGAAGCATCGCTCAACAGTGAGTTTCGGGGCCCATTGGAACGGATTAAGCGAAGTTTAATGCGTTTCAATGGGTTTTTTCGTTTCATTGAGCGATGTTTCCCCTAGCGAGGGTTAATCCGGAACAGATTAACCTCGCTATGCGCGGCACCACTGTATAGGTTTAAATTCAGACCAAAGGTGGAAGCACCCTTTGAACTGTATATTCAATCCCTTGTTTGTATGTTAATCTGAGGCAAGTTTTGATTCCTAGGGGGCGACTATTTCATAGGGACACTTCTCAGTACCAAAGTATCTCTTGGAGACCCCTTGCAGGACGTCTGAACTGACCCTTTAAGAAGAACTCAGGTGCTGTTGTGCCCCTTCGCTGGTGCATAGGTGCATCTTAGGAGCTGCTGCCTGATCCAGAGCCTCTCTGTCAGTTTAGCCCAGTCTCGTCAGCCCTGGTTGGCTAGCAATGACTGCTCCACAGGTTTTCAGGCAACCGGAAGACTCCTGGTGTTCCCTGGGGCTTTCCCCCTCCATACGCTTTCCAACCCTACTCTGCTTCTGAAATCAGAGGACACAGGGGTGTTCAGCGTGATACGGTGGTAGCCGTGCATATTTTAAATTGGTCATCTTGTACAGTGGTTTCCTGTGAGTTCTGTTATTGCTTTACATGTTGTACTGTTAGGACATGCACACATCTGCAGTTAGAAGTATTCAGTCTGTTTGTGCGGTAGCCATCAAAGTACGTTGCCGCAGAAGCAGACTAGTGAAAAACCCCGCAAATAATATATTTTAAATTGGTCATCTTGTACAGTGGTTTCCTGTGAGTTCTGTTATTACTTTACATGTTGTACTGTTAGGACTTGCACACATCTGCAGTTAGAAGTATTCAGTCTGTTTGTGCGGTAGCCATCAAAGTACGTTGCCGCAGAAGCAGACTAGTGAAAAAACCTGCAAATAATAGGCTCATATCTTGTGGCTTTTCAAGAAGCAGAGGTTTTATTTAGCCTGTGCTTTGGTGGACTGCAGCAGCAAGCCACTGCTTCAGGAGCATGAAAGAGTGGCTAAAGAGTGCCCCCTGATCCTGGAGGTGTCCCCGGGCTCTGCCGCAACCTGTTCCATGGAGCCATTATTAGAGGGAGAGAACAAACCATCAGTAAAAAGATGCAAACAAGATGTGCTTCAGAGGCCACCAAGATTTTTTTTCAAAGCATAAATGCTGTAACTTTGAAGCATTTTACAGTGTTTAATTTTTATATCTTTTCTAACTTCAGTTTAGTCAGTTTAGCTTAAGTAAGAATTCATACTTTCTCTGATCTAGAACCTACTCACTGATCTTCCTTGTTGTCCATGAAAACAGAAAGCTTTCCTGCGGCACCACGTTTCAAACAAGTTGCTCTTTTTGGCTAGTTTTTTGATGCACAAAGGTCTCTCTGTCGCTATACGCCACTGCAGAAGTTCCCAAAGGACGAGCTGTTTCCAGTCAGTGGCCTGTTATAGCAAGGAGTGGAACTAGCAGATTTGCATCACTCCAGGGGAGACTGAGGCAGACTCTCCACAGGGAAGCACACCTGCTGTGGAAGACAGTGGACTCTCCTTGGTGGGAGTCTCTTTCAGTGGAGGCTGGGGGCCCACCTGGCAGGGAGGATTGCGTTGTGCATATCCTGCGTTGTGGGGAGTTGAACTGCATGACTCTTTGTGTCTCTTCCATCCTTGCAGTGCTAAGATGGTATGAAGCATCTTGTGCTACCGTAGAGGCTTGCAACACGCATCTGAAGAGAATGGGCTGCAGCTTGCAAACACTTTTGTTCAGTAAAACTTGTCAGTCTTTTTGGTGCCACAAGATTCTTCTTTTTTCCTTCTTTTCTGCTTTTGTTTTTGCTTCTTGTTGCAGTTTTCGGTAGATGGATCTGTTGTACTGGGCTTGGGCAAAGACCTTCTTCCACTGTCTTTGTCTTGGTCTGCTTCTCTGGGCTTCAGTGTACTTGCCAACTTCCCTCAACAGGCATGCATTTCTTCTGGTCGCTTTATACTGGACCACAAGTTAATTAAGAAAATCATCCTGTTGGCATCTTCAGTTTTTCAATTCTGTTTCGTATTCCTGTCTGTCCCCTCCCCCTCTGGCTGTTTCAGTGCTTTCTTCCTGAGGTGGGTTCCAGTCCATGAAAACTTTTACCAAATATGTGTTGTTCAGGTGCCACAATACTCTTGGCTGGCTTTGTGCAATACAGCTGTTGCTTCCTTTTTCTTTTGATGCAGAAGAGGGAGAACCCTGCAAGGCTTCCATCTGAAGTTCCAGCCAAGAAGCTCCTCCTTGAACACCAGGCTGAGAGCAGCATGCTGGAGCCTCAAGCCACGAGCTGCCAGGAGCCACAGGCCATGGAAACGCTCGCCCTCGCCATTGACCCCCGGGTGGCGGCCACCCCAATCTATGTGGAAACCCAGCCTCCTGCCTCTGATCTAGCGCACCCCACCCTTTCTGGCCCACTCGTTGGGGCCATGAATCTGGTTCCTTTGGTTCAGATTGTGGAGCCCCTCAAGGCCATGACGCTGGCAGTAGCTTCCCCCGCAGAGGCTGCCTCCGGCCAGCCTTTGCTAGACTCTGGTGAGCAGCAGGTGGTTGATTTTGTGACCTCCGTGACATCTGCACCCACCCTGGAGGCTGTGCCAAGCTCGGGGCAGTTCTGTGCAGAAGTGGCAGTGCCCTGTAAGGTGGTAGCAACAGATCAGCCGCCGCTCCACGCTCTGGTGACCGGCCATCCCGTGGCAGCTGAGCAAGGCGCCCTGATCATTGAGAATGTCTCCATCGAGCCGTTTTTGGAGGCAGACTCGACTGCAGCTGCCGCTGCCGCCGTCCTCAGCTCCCTGCAAGAATCCTCCACTGAGATGGTGGCCTACTTTGAGACCATCCCAACAGCTCCCCTCGCAGCAGTTGCCTCCTCTCATGTGAGCCCCCCTGAGACTGTGCTCTCCTCTGCCCTCAGCCTCCCCATTGTCTCCACTGTGCCCATCATCTCCACTCAGGCCTCTCCAGAGGCCTCCGCAGCTGAGCAGCAGGAAGAGGAGGAGGAGGAGGAAGAAGTAGAAGAAGAAGAAGAGAAGCTGGAGGAGCTGAGCTCAGCCGAGTCCTTGGAGGAGCAGCTGGAGGAGCATCGCTACCACAAGAGTGAGGAAGGGACTGCCGCTGATCTGGTGGAAGTGGTGATGGGTCTCCAGAAGAAGGTGAAGGTGCTCCAGCAGAGGCACCGCCGGCACTGCGCCAAGCTGGAGGCCATGGAGGGGGTGGTGGAGCAGCTGAGAAAGGAGAACTTGGTGTCCGAGGAGAAGCTGAAGCTCCTGGAAATGGTGAGCGGTCTGCAGGTGGGTGTGGGTGGGATGTGCCAGGCCCCGTTTTGCAGGGAACTGACAGACAGTCTTCCCTCGTAAGCTCATCACTTGACATTGGCAGGTCCATGTAAAGTTTTTAACATCAGTGTTTCTGTTGAGACAGTTTCTAGTCCTCGTGGCCATGGAGTACATGTGGAGAACTTCAGCCAAAGCGCTTGACCTCTAGGTGTGCAAGCTCTCCCACAATTAGGGAAGGATGCAGCGGTCTTATCTGCAGCATTATTATTTGACCATTCCATGGACACTTGTCATGCATGCCTGATGAGATGAAATCAACAGGCTTGTGTCCCAAATAATGTTTGGTTTCAATTGCAGGGATGGTGAAAAAGACCAGTAAGAGAAGAGGGGGAGGATGGAAAGTAAGGGAAGGAGGGCATGAAGTTCAAGAACGTCATTATGAGCAATTAGACTCTGTTACTCTTGGGGAGGAGCTGGAGAAAACTGGGACTTGGAAGAGCAGTCTAGGGGAGGAGAAAAGGGGCACAGCTCTTGGGATACCTACCCCCCCACACACAGGGGGCACGGCTCATGGCCCTGCTGGCAAGGGACACCTGGGAATTACATTCCTAAAAGGGACCTGGGCCAGCAAGCAGGGTCCAGCGCCCTGCCCTGCCCTGCCCCACCCCTGTTTCCAGCAATGCCTTTGGATGTCTGGTGTCCTTTCTCACCCAATCTCTCCCCCTCAACCTCCAGGCCTGCTTGCAGTCTAGTGCCATCGTACCAGAGAGCGGTGGCACAGTCGCCATCATCTGTCAGGACAACGACCAGGCACTCCTCTATGCTGTGCCCCAGCTGCCAGAAGAAGGAAACGAGACCATCCTCCACATGGAACAGCCGTAGCCCCAGGCAGTCGGAGGGGAGCACGGAGCAACCCCTCTCTGCATTCGACTGGGCCAAAGGGGGCCCTTCCTGGCAGCAGCCCAAGGGGTCTGTGCCCTCAGCCAGCAGAAGGGCAGGCCTGGCTGTGCCAAGCCTTTCTGGGTTTCAGCTGTTTACTTGATGGCCTTATTCCTGTGGCACCTTATTTTGTGTGGAGGAGGGCTGGGCTTCTTCATTCTTTTTCTGTCTGAAATAATTGCATATAAAATGGTCTTTGTGGGGAAATGAACCCCTGGCTGAAGGTGTCTTCACCTCCTTGGAACCTGATGCCGCTGCTTCCACCTCCTTCACGAGCCAGACGTTCAGATTTCCTTACATGCTTGCGCTTCAAAGGGAGCCATAGGCAGGGCTGGCAGCCCCTTCACAGAGGGTAACGGCAGTAGGTCTAAAAGCCACGCTTGCCCACTCTTTCAAAATGGTGCCTTTTTGAGATGTCCCTGTGTGTGTGTGTGGGGGGGTGCCCTTTCTCTTCCCAGCCTCTGGGGATCTACGTGACTGGTGGCCTCCCGTCGTCTTTTTCATGAATGGAGTAGCGAGGATGCGGCATTTGTGCATGCCTGTCCTTTGTGCACGGCTAGGAGTACGGTTATGTAGACAAGGGGTGATGAGGAGCACAAGCTGTCAGGCTATACACGTACCAGGCTCTATAAGGGGACAACAAAACTTATGGATGGCAAGAGTTCCATAGCAAGACTGAAACTAGTGCACGAGGTACTGGGTTGTGTCTAGTGCATTTGGAGGAGGACTATGCAAGTTCTACTTGCGGGGGGGCTTTTACTAGAATCTCCTACTAATTAGAGCCAGGTGTAAAAAACAGACAGAGTTAAAAAGCTGAAAACCCAGGAACGGTTTTAACTAGGAAGGATTAAACAGGAAAATATATAACTTCCGTTGCTTCTCTGAATCCCTTGGTCTTATAATTAGCTACTCATCAAGTCCTCTTTCTTTTTCTTTTTTTCCGGCACCGGCAGTTGGAGGTTGTGTGTGCTGCCTTACGGCTGGGTCTTAACATTTTCTCAGTGACATTATTTTTGTCTGATAGGCAGCAAGTCTTCCCAGCTACCTGGGAGATAAAATAATGGTGTCCCAACTTGAGATAGTAAGTGACTGTGCTTATGAATCATTTCTGATTCTTAGTTGAGACTTCTAATTTTTTAACATGGGGCTTTATAAATGAAAATTAACCCATGAATTGGAGGAAAATATTAAAACAGAAATTAAAAAGTGGGGCTGTGAATGCTGGCAGAAAAGGGAAAATTGAGAGTGGATTTAAGTGTTGTAATTTAAATGAATGAATAAATAAATAAATATAGAAGATATTGAAAAATGGAGAATCTTTCGGTGGGTGGAGGCTTTGGCTATACTAAAATTAAGAAGGGACTCCTTGCTGATGCTCTTTGTCTTGCTGGGTACAAGGGATGCCTCAAGTGGGTTGGATGGTAGGGTTTTTTTTGCAGAAACCCGGCACAGATGGTGGTCCTGGAGGCCAAATCCTGTTCTCAGAATACCTCTGCTTTCATTTTTTTCAAGAGCAGGCAGTTCTGTAGCATGGCCACTTCCTTAGGATTCATAAATCCAGAAAGAAAATATGCCATGTAAGCAAAATTACCAGACTGGCTGGGGTTGTGCAGCAGCTCTGCAGAGTCTGTTTTGCCAAGATATGTTCTGTGCATGCCACAAACTGTTCTAACCAGAAAACAGTGACCGAGAAGAAATAGCTTCTAGTCTCAAATGAGCCGAGCATCCCAAGGAGACGCAGTAGGAATACAGTACAGCGATGAACGACCTGTCAAAATCAGAAGGCTGAATGCCTCAGCAGCCAAGAAGTTGTTTCAGAGGGTAGCTGTCCTGCAAGACAAGCCATAGAGGTTGCACTTTTTGTCTCTGTGGTAAAGGGATTGTGTGGAGGTCTGGGAAAGCCAGCCGCCTACATCATGCTATATTTTCATAAAAGGAGTCTGGCTGCCCACTGTCTCCCTGCAAGTGAAGTGGGCCCTGATTTCTCCACTGGGCCTGGATTGGCCATGGTGAAGACTGGGCCAGAACGGGGCAGGCGACTAAAAGGGGCTGCATGCCCCACAAACGATTAGAACCACCCGCGTTGTCCCTGCCACTCCTGCTCCTAAAGAATAGTTCAGGATGATTACGGGATGCCTGAAATGGGCCATCATTCGGCCGGCACCTCCCTCCAGAACGGTCAGGCTCCCCAGTCAGTGTGGCCACACTGCTGGTGGTCGTGGACCTCCCGGTCGTGGTTTAGTCGTTAAGTCATGTCCGACTCTTCGTGACCCCATGGACCAGAGCCCGCCAGGCCCTCCTGTCTTCTGCTGTCCCCCCCCCCCGGGAGTAATCCTAATCCTGCTCCCCCCCTCCTCGCCATCTATTAAAACAGGCGCTCCTTTCACACCTGGGGAAAGCGGGGTCCAGAAATGCAGCCACCCCGCCATCTGATACGGTGGGATGATATTCAGCCGACACTTGGAGCCGAATAGGCCTGGCGGGGGGT